CAAGATAGCTATGCATCAAATATATCGAGATGTGTAAATTTGAAGAAATAAAAACTTTATTCATTGAAGTCACATGATTACCACATCTTGATGCATGACTTACTTCTCATTTCTTTACTTTCATCAATGTCAATACTAATCACTTCAGTTGTAATTGAATTGAATAACATATTTAAAACACTTTGTGGGAAAGTTCTAATTGTGGAAGAGGTTGACAAGCTTCAAGATCAAGCCGTGATTACTTTATGCCATTTAGAGAAGATTTTCCTTTCAAATTTCTTCACTATTATGATGCATTTGATTATCCACCTTTCATATGAAGTAAAAGTAAGTAGACCAATTTATTTTAATGGATGTATCTTATTGAAAAAGTATTATTTATTAATAAGTTGTTAATGTCTATGATACCATTCTAATTAAAAAGGCATATGACAAATATTTTATGCTTCAGGTTTTTAAGGAGGTTAAAGTCATATTGTCCCAATAAACGCTATCCGAAAAATTATATTGCTAAAGGATTAATTATTAAACTTGATAGCTTTACTTGATTAATTTACAAGAGAAAGCAAAAGAGAAAATGGCCATTGAGATTGAAGTAGTGTTCGATTGTTTTGTCAACATGTAAAAATTGAAAGATTAGATTTTCATAAATGTTGCTAGAAAAAAAAAGACATAGACGGGTTCGATGCCTTGGATTGGGTCCAAGACCATCTAACTACTATAAAAATATCTCTCAGCAATTTATATTCTTAACAAGTCAATCTTATCCAAAAAATCTCAATAGTGAGAGAGATGTTGTAAATTATGCAACGTGTTCAGCAAACAAAAGCAAAAAGAGTTGAGGAGCATGTTAGAATAAATGAAAAGCGTAAGCAGTTACATGATCGATTCAACACTCTTATGAACTTTGTGCAACAACAATTTTGAAAAAATAATTTATGTAGTCAATCAACTCAGGTATTATATTTAGTAACTATTTATATTTTTTTAATGTCATAAATAGCTTATTATTATATGTAAAAACTTATTTTATTTTATTCAGTAGGTTTTTAAGTAAGCTAATGATTGTGGTGGAAAAAATTCTTCATCAAATGATAGTGCTCTAAATCTTAGTGGTCATCAATTTCATATATTTTAAATTTTTTATTAATATACTGAAAAAATTTGAATGCTATTGGATTAAACTTTGTGTTATATGCATACTGGAACAAATTATGTATTTTGATATTTAAATATTTATAATATTCAGTTTATGACTTTAAATTTATTTGATGAATTGAAAAATATTTATCTATTTTTTATTTAATTATAATAGTAAATGCTGAAAGAAATAAAAAATAAAATTTTTAATTTAGCAACGTTTATAAGTAAAAACACTGCTTAAATTATAAAAACTAGCGATATTTGTGTCAAAACATCTTGCTAAATTTAGCAAGGTTTTTGCACACAAATGCTGCTAAATTCTTTATTTAGTGGCACTTGCAGACAAAAATCTTGCTAAGTTAGTGGTGTTTTTTCTTAAAATACTATTATTTTCTCTAATGTAATATAGGTGACATTTTTAGCGATATTTTTTATATACGTCATAAATTTTTTAACGATGTTTATAACTTAAAAAAAAAATCGATAAAAACTTATTCCCCTGTAGTGATATGAAGACATTATTTAATTTAATCATATTCATAATATCATTTTATCTTATCCCATCATAATTTGTGTATTAAATACATCCTTAAAATGTTAGATGTGTACACACTTCATGGTGCTAAAAGAGTGACTATAAGTGTAAATATTTGATGTGTAATTGAGATTATTAGAGATTGAGCAAGAGTGTTTATTGATTTATTTAGGTTGGGATTGATTTGTGAGCAGTGGAGGAATAAAAAATTTTATCTAGTGAGAACTTAGTTTCAACATAATAATAATAATAATAATAATAATAATTTAAACTTACATATGTAGTCATAATTGTTAAAAATTTTACAATTATTTTTTACATCAATTTCATATTTTGAAAACTTTACACAATAATTTCATTATCAATTTTTTTAAAACACATTTTTCTAATGTACACAACTAATATGAATTGAAAAAGAAAAAAAAACCTTAATAGACCGAAAAATTAATGTCCAAGTCTACAAAGTTGGAGATGAGATAAATTTTGAAAGTAAAATAAACTCAATTTGAATACTCTCTCAAGAATGCGTGGTGTCAGGTTGCTGTCTACTGCTGGTTTTGATCAAATAAGTGAAATAACTAAGAAAGAAAAAAATTAAAGAAAAAACAAGAAATATTTGGTGTTATGTGGTAAAACTAAACTAACAAGTAAGTTTCTTATTTAAATGTTTTGAGCTTTGGGCTTGATAACCAATAAATTCAAATTGAAAAACTAATATAATTTAAAATTTTTATTTTGGACCAATGAAAATTATTGAACTTTATCTAAAATACAATTATTTTAGAATTTTTTTTGGTGGCCCTCAAGTAGATCCACCTTTGTTTGTGAGCTGAGTATTTGGGTGTTTGATTGGTTAAGTGGTGATGATTTATTTAATACATTTCTATGGAATCACTTTAAATTGCTATATGTTATATATATGATTTATCATTTGATTGCAATTCTACTTGCCTAGATGTTTACCGGTTGGGGTTTGGACAGACAAAACAAATATTAACTACTTATGTACATATATAACCAAATGGATGTTGCCATAGTGACATTGCAAATTAAGTTATCTACACAATTTCGAACCGGAACGTATAGATTTATTTTCTAACTATATTTAAGTAATAAATTTACAGAATATAATTTAAAGTAATTAATTAGTTCTTATTTGAAATGGTTGATAACATATATTGGCTTTATTTTTATTATATAAATTTTTTAATATAAAATCAATTAGCTATAGATAAAGAAATCCAACATAAATATAAAATCATAAAAACACAATATTTAACGGATGCGAGATAATATCATTTTAATAAAATATTTTTTTTTAATTTTAAGATAAAAATAAACTACAAACCTAAGAAAAAACTTGTATTTGACATATAGATTATCTATCAAAGAGATTTACTTACTCAATAAACCCGTAGCTATTGTTTTTATTCTTATGTGGTCTGTGGTGAAGCAAGTAATGATTAACATCTCAATTTACAATGAAATTTAATTTACGCACCAAAAACAAAGTTCAAGTTACCTGTAGTAGTCCATATCTCAAACCCCTGAAGTCCTACAGAAATAAACAAAAACTAATGCGAAAGAAGCTGACTTGAATATGGTGGAGGAAGGTATCCCATATTTTCCTGTTTTAAACAACCCTTTCAGAAATGGCAAGAAGCATAGCACCACCCATAGGCTGCACAAGACCTCTCCTAGCCCTACCCCGTGCCCAACATCATCTTGAACTAATGGTCGCCACCCTAAGGAAAGGGCGAGCAGTGCTATCAGGTGCACAAGCAAAAGGGTCGTGCCTGGCACAAAAATAGGTGACTCATCGAAAGTAAATTTTGTAGTACCGTCACCATTGGAATTAGATTGATCTTTTCCTGTAACTTCAAAAACTGTATCAGACAAACCCAAGAGTTTGAGTAGGACACTTAGAGCTCCAAACAAATATGCAGAGGTTGCTGTTATTATTCCCATTCTCAAGTTATTCCACCATGCTAGTATGGACATGCCAGTTTTGAGGTATTCCCTGAGAGTGAGCAAGTTGTAAATCACAAAAATGGCAACAGGTATCAACATCGCCGGGTCCTGGACCTGCATTAATTGTTAAACTTGTGAACAGTTCACGCTTCTAAAACAAGTATATATAACAAGTACAATTAGATTATACTGTACTAATTTGTTTCAGAACAAATTAAAGTAATGATTTTTAATGAGGAAAATAAATTCATTCAAAGGAGGCTGAAAGCTTGAGAATAAAGTAAGTTATTGCAATTACTGAAATTTAAATCTTAAATTTATTGGAAATTACATGAATTAAGTTAAATCTAGGGTTCATGTTAAAAAAAATGTATCTAAATTTGTTTTCTTATTGTACTCATTTTTCAGACAGTTGTATATGGAACTATGTGGTCCTGGATTTGATGCCGAGACACTAAAGCATCGCTTCGAGGTGAGAGACAATGACATAACAAATAAGATAGAACATCTCGAATAGTTTATTGTACTTGACATTTTTTGGAACAAAACTATATAAAGGACAAGTATGAGGCATATATATAAATGGATGAAGCGACGACCTCAGTTAATTGTATATGAAGTATGTACTGCAAGTAAATTCTGCTCACATTGGGCAAGAAATGGGAGTTGGCAAGGATGCAATATGCAGGCAGAGCACCATAACACAGCTGAGGAATTGAGGAGGCGCCCCAAGAAAGAATCCAGATGTAGGCTAAGGACGTCCTGAACTGGAGGTTTCCGGTCAGGGTGCCAAATATTGGGTTGTTTTTACTAACAAGGATTTCACACAGGCCTGTAGACCACCTTTTCTGTTGAGTCATTGCCGCCGGGCCCCCAGATGGCGCACAACCTAGAAAGGCCGGCGGGTCGGGCATGGGATAGGTGGATTTCCACCCTTTCTTATGAATCGTCAACCCAGTTAGCATATCTTCTGCCATGGATCCATATATCCATCCAAGCTGAAGCAAACGTAATCAATTTTACCCCAATTTGAAGGTTTACACATTACAATCATCAGCTCTTTTCAATTATTAATATTTAAGTTAATATCACAGACACTTTAATTATAGTAAAATATTTAATATGATAAATGAATTATAAATATATAAATTAAGATAATATTCATCATTAATATCATTAGCTTTTAAAGTTGATACGTGATTAACAATAAATTTTACAAATATTATATTATTTAACATATTTATAATTCAAATATTACATTTAAAATGTTTAAAGTTTAAATATTATATTTTTTACTATAACGCAACTTGGACATTTTTGCTTAATATTTTAGTAGGTTTCTTCTACTAACCTTTGTTCCCCAGCTACTACCAAATTCATAGCCACAACCTGCAACCCGGAATGCTGCCTCGAGAGAATCTGAAAGGTTGTTTCGACGATCCTTCTCGCCTTTCAATGCATAAGTTGCTGATTCTGAAAACTCCTTTGAGTCCCCAAACTCTTTTTTCAGTTCATAATAAGCTAATTTTCCTACAGAAAGAAAGAATAAACCATCATGCTCCTATTATTTTAATTTACGGAGTTTAGCTAGAGTGAGGGCAATATTTAAGTAAAGGTTTTTAGGTGGAGCTTTTAAGATTTTTAATGAAAACCGTTAAATAAAAATTAACTTTGAAAATCGAAATCTATATATTAAAAGATCTTAATTATAAAAAAATTAATAATATATGAAAAATGTTATTACAAATGTTGTTTATATTCAAGATGTAATCAATATTTATTGAATGGCGAAAAAATTATCATAATTTTTATTAAAATGTATCAAAAAATATATTTTTTTCATGATTTATGTGAGATCTTTTAATTTATAAATTTTAATTTTAATTTTTATTTAACCATATTCACTAAAAAAGGCTTATGAATTAAGGTCTTCTAAGAGACTTTTTATTTGAAAGTGATAAGAGAAAAAGAAATCATTACTTAAAGGATTAAAGTTAAATTTGTCACCATATTCTATATGGGAAATAAAAATATAAGTAATAACAAAATTGAACAAAATTGAAATACAATGCAAAATGTCAATATTGAATCATAGTATAGTTAGAAACCAATTGGATCTCAATCCTTTAATTTAAAGATAAATTGTTAATTAAATATATACCATTAATTAGATTTTTTAAAAAAAAGTATATACCGTTAATTGATGTATCATTTCTGGCTTGATTTTCTGCGTTATGAGGCCGTAGACCATAGATGACTTTTCGTCTATGAAAGCATCCTGTTCCGCTATAGAACATTCCTTGGAGTCCCGCTATCCCACGGCCCATATACTAACATAGCAACATATATATATATATATATATATTCTAACTGAGCAAAAAGAAAAGTAGTAGTAGAAAATGCATTGAGGTCTATGTAAAAATATGACTCACTTCTGTCAAAACCACAAATTGGTTTCCATAGGGATCGTCCTTCTGACCATCGTAATAAGACTGAGGATATTGAACAAATGCAATTTCTCTTTCACTCTCGTGACCAAGAAGCTGACACATTGCCCTGACGAAAAACTTGTGGCTTGTTCACATACATATCACAATCTACGTTCAGCATGAACGGCGCATTCGTCATCAACCCTGACACTCTAGTCTGTTTTTTGGTACAAGAACCAAAGTTGATTAATTTATTTTCTGGTAGTTGGTTTAAAGAATATTTATGGGTAATTTCCCAAAAATAAATTCAATTTAAATTGAGTAACTTAAGTAAATGTTGAGAAGTGTTTGGTAATTTTTGAAAATTTTGACTTCTTTTACAAAAAAAATGATAGTTAGGAAATAAAAAAATTACAAATTTCAAATTTTAAATTTACTAAATATTTAAATAATTGTATAAACTAATTGAATTAAATTTCGGATTCAAATTAATTATTTTTTGTATTACTAATTGTTTGGCCTAACACGGAATTTTTGTTAATTACCAGAACGTTCATGGCACCAGCTTTGTAGTGATGTGGATGTTTCGGCCGTTTCTCTCTGGAAATATAAACCAAATGTGGCACATCATCATCCCAAAAGCTTTGCATGTTCTCTCCTATTATCTACAACAAAACAATTCCAATGATTCCAAAATTAATAACCAATGAAGATAAGTACATTTTTTATGAGCCACATATATAAAACAACATCGTATCGCATAAAATTAAACCATGATGGAAACAATATATATAATTTTATTTTGTTTAATTAGAATAGTGGGGAACATTGAGGCAATGAACTGTCTTAGATATAAATGAGTTACCTTGATTATAGTCGGATGGTTGCTGCGTTCAACCTGGGAGAAAACAGCAAACTCACCGGTTAGATCACAAGGAGCTGCTCTTCGGCCTGCTTCCTCTATTTTTAAGCTAAGGAGCTCGTACTCGGCCTGTAAGGATCCAATAAATTAAGACAAGTTAAATGTCTATTAGTGCCTAATTGCAAATTAAATGGCAAAATAAAATGAGTTTATATTTGTTGTATTATCAATATATAAATTTTATATATTATCATGAAATCATATAATATCTCCTCTTTAATAAAAAAAAAAAAATCTTTTTAATTTAAATTTTTGTATATTTATTTTTAAAATAATTAATTTTGCAATCTTAAAATCGTCTCAAGAGGAGACTAGCCGCAAACAAAGTAAAGGAATACCTCTAACTGTATTATCAAGAAAACAGATAATTTTGCTCTCCTGTTCAATTTTTTTTTTCTTTTTCGCCCAACTTTGAAATTACATACCTTCATCTTTTCCCAATCTTGTTTGAAATCAAAATTTGAATTGGAGGATATAGGATCCTCCAAGAAGAATCTAAAGGAGCTCTAACTTGAATTTTGTACTTCTTACAAAATGGGACCCAAAGCTTAGCAAATTTGGGATGCTTCCACTATAGAGTAAAAGGTGAGAGGGGAGCAGCCATCGTCGATACATAGCAAGCTAGCTTGTCAGCTGGATAATCAACAGCCAACAAAGAGAGAACGGTGTTTATAGTTATAATAGGCGGTTCTAACACGGGGTCTGCAGTCGTAACAAAAATGTCCACAGGGGGAAGCTCCGGAAACCTGCAGACAACAAAATCAATTAATTTTATGGTAACAATATTACTAACAGAAAGATGAATAGTGATCGTATGTAAACAGTTGATTTGCTACCTCTGTTCAAGGTTTTCAGGTATATTTTGAATTCCACAGGATTCCATTTGGAGCTGACGTTGAGAAACCAATTGAACGTGAACCATGTCTCGCATAAGAAAGCAAGGAGCCAGACCATCCATGGTTGTTAAGAGAAAGGAGACGAATAAGACAGGAGGGAAACTAGAAGGAAAAAAAGAGTGATATCAAATGCTCTTTGGATAGTGTTTTTACGAGCAATCTTTTCATACAAAGGGAAACAGAATTCCTTGGCTGCCATTACAGAGTGCTTAGAGAGGAGCTATAATGTGATGTGTATTCATGAAAGATTTTGAGGCCTCCTTCCTAGCTTTATAATGGTTATATTATAAGCGATTTATGCTTAATAAAATCGCATTATCATTCATAAAATAAAAAACGTTTTTTTTGTAGTTTGTAGA